TTCATCTTGGAACTTTGGGGTGGATGGTTTTGGGGTAATATGGTATTGTCCAAGGGTAAACAAGTATCTCTGAGTTGAATGCAACTTTCAGATCTACATTTTCACGTCTGCAGAAAAATTTATAGTGGAAACACCCTTCGAAATCATGTATATGAGTTCATAGGCCGGAAATCATGTAATTTCAACTTGGAACTTTGGGGTGGTTTGTTTTGGGGCAATCTGGTATTGTCCAAGGGTAAACAAGTGTGTCTGAGCTGAATGCAACTTTCAGATCTGGATTTACACGTCTGCAGAAAAAGTTATAGTGGAAACACCCTTGGAAATCATGTATATGAGTTCATAGTCCGGAATTAATGTAATTTCAACTTGGAACTTTGGGGTGGATGGTTTTGGGGCAATCTGGTATTGTCCAGGGGTAAACAAGTGTGTCTGAGATGAATGCAACTTTCAGATCTGGAATTACACGTCTTCAGAAAAATTTATAGTGGAAACACCCTCGGAAATCATGTATATGAGTTCATAGTCCGGAATTAATGTAATTTCAACTTGGAACTTTGGGGATGATTGTTATTTTTTCTTGGGACTGTGGGGATGTTTTTTTGGGGCATTCTGGTATTGTCCAAGTGAGTTTAATCCAACATCCAGATCCATAAATGATTGTTATTAGAAACAGTTATGATGAAAGAACCATGTGAAATCACCCAGTTCAAATGACTGGTTTTTACAGCTTGTAACACCAATCAAACCAGAAATGAAAGATGATTTCATTTCAGTTACAGCTTTGGTACCGTAGGGGACACCAATCTACCACACCCACGGAGGTCTAACCTTTGTCAAGCACCACAAACACATATGTGTTTTTGGTGTGTTTTCACATATAAAACTTTTCACCATACCTTCTTGAGGCAACAGTGGAATCCTAACCCTCAAAGCTCCATTCAAATAAGACTCACATTTTCAACCTTGGGCAATCCTTCAATACCCCAGAATAACCAGGTGTCAAGGTTACAAACCATATCCAAAAACTTGGAACATCATGTTTTTGCAACGTATCCCACAAATCTTCAATCAAAACTACTGATTTTCTCCACCTGGAACAGAATTGCAAACAAATATCAAAAGGAACCATATTTATATATAACATCTTTCAAAAAGACAATATTTCCCCTTCGACAACAAAAGCAATGGCATGAACATTTTTTTTGGCACTTCAGTAAAAGCATGATAAAATGAAAATTGAAAAAATGAAACTTTATTTTGAGAGGTAGATTTTTATTTATAATTAAACGGGCAAGGAAACAATAGCAACATATAAAAGGTAAGTGGTCAAGTTGTTTTAGGCGCCTTGAAGAGGGCTGCAACCTTAGCTTCCCTTTTTAATTTGGCTCTTTCAGCGCGAAGCGCCTCATCAGCAACTTTTCTAGCATGTTTGAAACTTGTCTCCTGTTCATAACTTTTCACCCTGGACTTCCTATAGTCTTCCCACTGCGCTGGAGTCATATTTTCTTTTGTTTTTTCAACCAGGCTGATACGTTCAACAAGGGTTTCTGCTATCTGGCAGGAAGAACCAAAGCGTGTGATAGCACACATTTTGGGACAGATTTCTTCCCCTTCCTCATCAAAACATAATGATTCAGCTGTATAATGAGACACCTATAGGAGAGATATCATTCGAGTCAGACCAAAACACATTAGAGGACTTGAGCTGAGGAATTGAAAAAACCTACTGTGGTATCCCAAATACTCTCATACATACCATCACAACCATCATAGTCTACAACTATATCAAAGTCCCTCATAATAAACATTGAACCAACAATGGAGCCCTTATTCACAGGTCCATTAGCTTCATGTAGGGCACCTGTTACTCGATCAATTAGGCAATTGAATCCAAATGCATAACGGGTATGATCAAAATCAGTGTGTGGTTCATTATGGAATCCTTCGCAGGTTACAATCAAGTTGGATGCAAAAACTCTTCCATTCGGAGTTCCAGCCCATGCCAAGTCATCAAACCCTGGAACATTCGTATCCATGCCGATCTGAAGATTTGAAATAAATATCATGAAGGACAAAGATGCAAATCTTTTGGCCCAGAAGTCTCAAATGCGATGAAATGAGGTCATGAGGGCAATATCCACATCAATTCGATGAGTATCATTTGAAGTGAAAGCGCTAAGAGCATAAGGGCCTGCCACAAACATATCAGCTTTCAATTGGCATTAGGGATGGAGGAGTCAAAGAATAAATCACACTAACTCACCCGCAGAATAACCAGGGTCTGAACCTCCTCTCCACCCTAAATGCCCCATCCAACCCCAATAAATTCCTTCCTCTTTGAAGTTCTGAACGGCACTGTTGGTCTCACATCGATTGCAAGCTCGGGCTGCTTGGTAGGTAGATGAAATGCAATTTTGAAAAGCCTCCTTCAGTACTGGATCCATGTCTTTGAATTTCGTGCATCTTACTATGAGAACTACTGATAGATCTTCCGCATTGATAACTACTACTGTTCCATGATTGATGTAGATTGGTTGTCTTTCAAGTATAGGGAAATCTTTCGTCGAAGGCCATCTAAATATAAAAACGGTATCCTGAGGTAGTCCAAGTTCACGAGTAAGTCTCGATTTGAGTTCGGTTCGCTTACGATGCCGGCGTGGATAAATTCGTCCCAGGCTTTCCTTGTAGTAAGCCTTCCACCTTTCTTGTCGCTGTTTCAAAGCACAAGGAGACGTTTTGGACTTGAAGTTCTGTTTTGGAAGGCCGTGCTTGGTGGCTCGTCGGCGTCGAGCCTGGCGAGACATGATGTTCGAAGACAGATGACCACGATACAAAGGAAGCAAAAGCGAGCCGTATGACTAGTAGGATCGTAGCCAGAGGCCTACAACACTCCAATCAAACAACCACGACTGAGTCTAACGGTGATTGCGTAATCTTGATTGTTTGGTCGAAGCAACCTATGTAGTGACGAAAGATTTTGAAGAGTCAGTAAGAAATAATTAAAATAGAATTGAAAGATTGAAGGAAAAAGTATAATATATAATCGGTACCACTTTAAGCTCACTTCGATGGGTTTCCTATTCAGAAAGAAAATGATAAAATGTATTGTCAGTTTAGGATGAGATCATTTAATCCGCTGGATTAAATGTATGAATACTTACGATGATAAGAACTTCTGCTTGATGTAGAAGGTTACAGGCACAGGGAATTTGAAATGAGCTTGAATCGATTTGACTGAATTAATTAGGTCTTGTTTCACGTTGATATGCCTATACTTCGATTTCTGAGTGTTGATTGATTGAGGGATGACTCTACGTGACGAAATCGGGCAAGATGGACTGGAGAGGTGGATTGAGTGAGAGCTGAGATAAGGTGATCGTTGTGGGTAAGTAGGTGGGTAAGGGGTGAACCAGGATAGATGATGATGGGCGAAAGTCGAGATGGGGAAAGGATGGCCGGTACCGTGAGATACGGCCCCGGTACAGGTCTGGTGATAACCCTAAGCGGTTGTCACCAGGTTAGGGTTTGAAATGTATCGTGGCCAAGTGGTGAGTGATGGGTACGATAACAGGTTGATTCTTAACCCTAAGCGGTTGTCACCAGTATAGGGTTAAGAATCAATCTGTATGACAATGCCCCTTGTGTGTACACTGATGTGTAGGTGTATAATCCGGTGTTTAGTGTTAAGGGTCTTACACACTACACACCAGAGTATACACCTACACACCGGGGTACACACAAGTGTATGCAAGGAACACCGGTGTTTGCTGAAGTACACTAGACACCAATGGATAGGCCTGTGTGTACACTAACCACCGGTGTGTAAACTTTCGTGTACACAACACCATAGTTTACGCCGGTGTGTACACTAAACAGAGGTGGACATACTGGTGTTTAGTGTACACACTGGTATACCAACCTGCCCATACATCAAACATCGGTCCACAGACTGGTGTGTACTGGTGTACACTAACTAAACACCGGTGTTCAGTATACTCATCTGTGTGTACACTAAACACCGGTGTGTACACTGAAAATCCATGTGTACACCTCTGTGGGTACACTAAACACCGGTGTACACCTCTGTGTGTATACTAGCCAAACACAGGTGGGGAGTATACACACCGGTGTGAACACTAAACCCCCGGTAACACACCGGTGTGTACACTAAACACTAGTGTACACCTCTGTGTGTACACTAAACGCTGGTGTAAACCCCTGTGTGTACACTTCAGACATCATCACCTTGTATAACCTTCGAAATTCAGAATGTTGATTGAAATCAAAATTTGCTGTTCAATCAGATGAAGAACATATATTGTATATTTCAAACAGACAAGATAAACAAAAGAAGGTTACATTTCATATTAATTGAGATAAAGAGTGGAAAAAAAAAAAATTACTTCCAAAGAAAAGGGAAGTTACTATTCCAAAAACAAAAAGAATTTTATTAATCATCACCCTGTTGTTGCCCTTTATTGACCCTTCTACGCCACTCCCGGAAAAGCCGTATGTTAGGGGCAAACCGGTCCTCCCATCCAATTGCTTCATCAAACCGTGTTTCAAACCACTCTGTGGCGACGGAGGGAATTGGAAGGGTGGGAGAGAGATCCATTGTGAGAGAAATACAATGAGAGGTTTGAATCATACCAATGATGATAGGCTCTACATCTTCGGGAGGAGAGAAGAAAGGAGGAACAGTGGAACTGTGGGGTATGAAGTCAGAATATAAGATGACTGGCCTCTTGAAGGTGTTAGATACTATACATAAGCCGCCTGGAAGAGGGTACCAAAGGTTCGACGTGGCCACTAGCTCCTTCCACTCCAGGATTTCAAGCATCTTTTTGACTCCAAAATTTGGTGATGATACGTGATCCAGGTTTTCCTCATACCAATCCATATTTTCCTTAAAATGCTCGAGCATTTCACTTCGAACAGCTGGTGCCTCTGATACATTCCGGCCAAGAGAAACTGCCACAGAAGCAAACAAGCATAATCCACTAGGGGGAACATTGGCTGCATGCCTGATAAAGGGGTATAGTTTGCGGGGAAGCCATTTCGGGAAATCCCAAGTCTACACAGATGAATGTTAGAATATTTATCGGAAGAAACAAAAATTCAAAGTACAAAAATTTACTTACCTGAAGGACAGGGTGTCGTGATGATTTTGGAGGGGGTCTTTCCTTTTTTGGTTTCACCGACGCTGTGACAGACTTTTAATTGATAATCAGGTATTGATTGTCAAAAACCATTAGTTAAAACAAATCACTAACCTGTTTTTGAGTCCGGGTGCGCTTTCTTTTGTGTTCATCCTAAAAAGATAGGTGAAGTTTCTTTATGATTAGATATTGAACCTCAAATTAGTATCAACTGAAATAACACCCGTACATTTTCAGCTTCAGCATCAGCCTGCATTTTGGAAGCCTTCCGAGTAACTCTTGGGCTGATAGACTCAGCTGATGTTGATTGAGCGGGTGCTTGAGGACGTTTGGTGACATGCTTGATGACTTTTGTTGAAGTATCTGGACTCTCTGGATGTTTGACAGATCGGGTGAGAGGAGAATGAGAAGCTGGAGACTCTGATCTAGGTCGAGGATGGTGCTTTAGCTGAGTCATTACGTGGTTATTTGATGATTCTTCGTCAGATATCTTGGATAGTGGTGAGGACTGGGGGGTCGTCGTGAGTTGGATTTCCTTTTCTTTTCCCTAGGACATATAATACATGAGAACATTATTTATTTGAGCGGAATGTTTCTAAGAAGGATATGGAAGAATATGAACTTACCTTTGAACATTGTACATCTTCAGTGGGGATTTGATGATTGGTATCAACTCCTCCATTAACAACATCTTCTTCGTCATCAACATCTTCCTTTTGAATATCAGCTTCAGCTTCATGTGTTTCATTTGATGTAAGTTCAGCTTTGCGATTTTCATTCAATGTAGAGTTGTTACAATGGATAGTAACTTTCTGGGAAATGATCTGAGATGGAGTGTTAGTGAGTGCTTCAGCAAGCTGAAGCTCTGACATAAAACGGGCGAGGAGGCAGGTCTGAGAGTGATTTGGCAGGGCTTGCATTCGTGTAAATAGTGATGTGTATTGATGTTGTATGTAAGGATTGGATGATTGAGAAGATGATGAAGTCTTTGAAAGTGATTCGATATTTGGAATCAACATATTGAGATGGGTGGGTGGTTGAGACTGAGGTTGAGTGCTGGAAGACGTCTCAGCACTGGCGGTTGGCTTTCTTTGACGGGAGTGAGCTTCGATGGGAATGTGCTCCTTGGAAGGTTCGTGATCATGCTCGGGATTCCCAATTTCAATTACAAACTGTCGAGTCTTTACATTACGTCTTGCAGTTACTTCAAATGGGCAAGTTGGAATTTCGGGTAGATTGGGTGACTGGGCTTTGATAGCGTCAGACAGAAGCTTCTTCTGGTATCGATTGGGACCGAGGTAACATTTGAGTGTGATGAATGACGGTCTGGTGTCGGACGTTGTGACAGCGTAGTAATTTTGATGAGCATGTTCTTTAAGATACGCTGCAGCTTCATCACGAGTTGCAAACACAGGGGGAAAAATAAAAGCTCACATAGATGTGAGCAGAGGGTACCTTCCTGATAACTCCAAAAATGTTTCAATTTCCTTCAGATTCTTTCAATTCACCATTTTGGTGGTGCCAACATGCTCAGCCTGTAATACTTAGGTATTGCTTGAGTTTGCTAAAGCATGCTCATCTTCATCTTGGATGAGCCTCTCTTGAGCATGGATGAGTGCTCAGGACCCAGCTGACACATCACTGTATACTCAGAATCACCTTCAGAAGGGTCCAAAGGATGTCACTGAGTATTGGCTGAGGGGCTGCTCAGATAGTCCTAAGTGGCATTCCTGGGATTGTAGGTATCCAAAGGATTTCACTCAGTATTGGCTGAGGGGATGCTCAGTTCAGCACAGCGGCTCAGCCAATCCTCAGTGGTATTCCTGGGATCAGGAGGATCCAAAGGATCTCAAAGGATGTCACTGAGTATTGGCTGAGGGGCCGCTCAGCTAGTCCTCAATGGAATTCCTGGCATCAGGATCAGAAGTATCCAAAGGATGTCACTGAGTATTAGCTGAGGGGCTGATCATTTCAGCACAGCTGATCACCTAGTCCTCAGTGGCATTCCTGGGATCAGAAGTATCCAAAGGGATGGTTCCCATTGTGTTTTTCACATTTGGTAGGGTCTCTCGCCGCAACTGTGCAGGCTGAGCATTGGTGGGCCCAACATGACCTGAGCAGATGAGCCAGCCCTCCCTCAGGCTTCTTGGCTGAGGGATAAATCCTGAGGAAGGCCTGACTCATCTGCTCAGGCCATGCTGACCATTTTATCAGATGATGAGCTGAAAGAAAACTGGAGGAAAATTGGAAGAAAATTGGAAACAAACTGGAAACAATCTTGGAGAAACCTCCAAACTTTCTCTGCTCACATCTATGTGAGCTTCTATTTTTCCCCCTGTGAAAGGTACACCCAGCCTTGGGGATCGGTATCGTTCGAGTGGGGCTTTGGTTAGTAACCGAATTCGTGGTGAGACTATCAGACATGGTGCTTAAGTTGATTTGTAATTTTATTAATTTGATGTGAAATCGGAAAGTTATTATATTGAGTTTTTTTAAGTAGCTTGTGATTTGATTATTCAATAATGTAATAAAAAAAGATAATTCAAGAATTTGAAACTTCTAGCATTGAGCAAAGAAAAGGAATGGGGATAGATCGATTTTTGATTTGAGTGTACTAATGTGTGAACAAAGGAGTTTAGTGGTTAGTATGGGTGTGTAGTGGGTTAGGGCAAGTGTGAAATGTAAACTTACTTCCAAGAGAATGAAAGAGGAGTGGTTATCGATGATTGAACTCGATTTTTGATTTGAGAAGGGATGTGTGTACTAATGTGTGAACAAATGAGTTTAGTGGTTAGTATGGGTGTGTAGTGGGTTAGGGCGAGTATGAAAGGGAAACTTACTTCCAAGAGAATGAAAGAGGAGTGGTTATTGATGATTGAACTCGATTTTTGATTTGAGAAAGGGTGTGTGGATGATTGATCTCGATTGTCGATTTGAGAAAGGTAGTTATCGATGCTTCTCGATTGTTGATTTGAGAAAGGTAGTTATCGATGCTTCTCGATTGTTGATTTGAGAAAGGTAGGAGTTTACTACTGTGTGAACATAGGAGGTTAGTGGTTAGTATTGGTGTGTAGTGGGTTAGGCCGAGTGTGAGATGTAAACTTACTTCCTGGAGAATGAAAAAGTGGTTATTGATGATCGATCTTGATAAGGAGATGTGGTGTGGTATGGTTGTGTAATTAGTTGATAGCAGGGTTGATCAGGCGCCTGGTGGTATGGTGGGTAGTGGTTGAGGGAAGTTGGTGGTTAGTGTGCGAATGAGTGGGTTGTGGTTATGCAAATGGGTGGCTTGGTGAGACTGTGCAGTTAGGTTTGCTGCTGTGTATACGTGTAGGCATTACAAGTTAAACACATGTATAAACACATGTACACACAGCAGCAAAATCGACATTGGCCTACGGCTGTGTATACACTGTGGACTACAGCACACATATGTATATGTGTAGCCAACGCCAATATGTGAGCTGTGTTCACACAGCTTCAACAGTGTATACGCAGTGCTGTACACAGGTGAAGACTTGTAAATCACACGTCTAGGGTTGGCGTGATCACCGGCATGATCAACATGTAAGTTTTGTTGGAGGTAGAACGCCTGGTACATGCTTGAAGGTGGTTTGGATACTTCTTGAGAGGTTGGTTAATCTTGATAGAACTTCAAAGAGGTCTTGGTATGTTTCGAGGATGCCCTCAGAGGCATCTGAGGCATCCCAAACACATCTGGCGCTATGTATGGGATACATGCCGAGGATGTGTTACACGTCTTCCTCGGTACAGGTCCGAGTTTGTAGTGTACACAAGGTGCCTAAATAATAGGTTATTGAGATCTTTCCTTACATTCAACGTCAGGGAAATTGCACGTACTGTAACACTCCATCGTTCGCCTCCCGGAACAAAGTCCTGAAGCATACCGTAGATGGCTATTACGTTCCCTTCTTGGAATGCACCCCTTGTTGGCTCCTGCATTACTTGGCGGCTTAGATAGTGATCTATCTCGAATGATACGTATCTGCGTAACTGTCACAAAGAATAAATTGCTGGCATCTCCCAGAATTCTGAAGAGCTTACCACTTGGTTGTAGACAGTATGCCTCAGGTTAACCCACCACCGTGATCAATTTCACTGGTTTCGACATTGAATCACTCGCCCCCGACTGATGACCCTTACGCTCAACACCGGTATGCCCAATTCGACATTTCGCTCCGGTAAAATCATAACACTCCTTGCAGTCGGGTAAAAGATCGTATTGCCATTGCTATCTCTGGGGAGCACGGGCCCCCGCAAATGGTAGTGGCTATTGACTTCAAGTCGAACACAGTCATCGTCCGGGATCATCACCAGAGCAAGAGAGTGGCTCGTGCGCTGTCCATCTGGAACCGAAACGAAGGATGAATATCGACGCCTCGAGTTTGAATCATCGCTTTGCCCGCTTAACTGTGATCAACAAGTCTTAGCCTCACAAGGACGGTAATTCCAATGTGAATCATTTGCTCACTTCTGCAGTTATGAGGAATACACCTTCGAAGACCAAGCCTAAGTGAGAGAGAGGGAATGCCATTGAACTGATGGTGAATAGACTCACTACAAGCAGAGGTGTCGTTGGGAGGTATTGGACGATGGTGTGTACTCGCTAAGGCGTTGGCATCAATGGACTGTTTGAAACTTGGACCGCTTGCAAGCACAAAAGATACACAAAACAATTTTCACGCTTTGCCCTGCGAACCTGAGAACTGTGCCTGGTCACTTAGACATTACCACCGGCACTGTACTATGATTGGAGTGTAGCAGGCTCCTTAGGAACCGATGTGGCACATTCTTGCCGTTTTCTAGCTCTGATACCCCTGCTTGTACCAGATGCCCCCATGGGCTGGGCAATAGCCAGAAATCCTGATTCCTTGCTAAGCAACTGCATTCCGAACACTTGAAAGCTATTCTACAATAGGAACATAAGGAGGCGCATTCGATAGCTACAAATATAGACATATTTCCAAGAGACTGGGTGAGACCGCGTAGCTCAGGCTCAAGGCATCGAGAACGGCTCATTTATTATGTTCAAGCGCGCGCTGCGTCACATTTATCAGGACAATGCTCTGTGAGCGTGACGCCAAGAAGTAACAAATTGCGACGGCGCAGGCCTCAGAAACCCATCCGGACCCGTGACACCGCCTCAGACTACATGGCTATTGGATTATTGCGTTCTTTACAACGGCTGCGCCTACAAACTGCTATCCGTTGTGCCATTTGCACTTCAGTCGTCTGCAATTGAGACACGATTAGCCCACTGCACGTAGATGGAGTTTTGAGAGGTCGCACCTCTATTCCCCAAGCGTTACTGAGTGAGTCATGACCCACTACATTGCCCCGCAGGCAGATGACGTTGCCTACACTCAGGGCATCGCCAGTTAACGTCGCCGTGATGCGGGGATTGAGCCTATAATATGCGTAGAAGTCTATCAGGCGCGAATGCTGACGGATCATGGATAAAACGTTTTGTTAGTTGGAGACAATGTTGATGAAATTTTTGTACCCGACTTACTTCTGAGTCTAGCCATCGATGTAAAACTTTGATAACCTCTTGTCCGTAGCCGCCTTGATCTGGATCTTGGACGAACCATTCAACGATCCGGCCAAGCCCCTGTGCCAAAACCGTGTCCAGCAAGGAGTTGACGGGGATCTCAGCCTCGTCCACAATGCTAGTACTGTTGGCCTCCGTGAAGATAATTGAAGTACCGTTTCTTGCTACAACTTGTCCCTCCACGTTGTACGCACAATTGGATTTCAACGATGTGGCTTCGTCGTTTGACGTGATCACCAGAGGTACACCTTTGACGGCATCTCTGCGGACGATCACATCGCTTCTGAAGCATTTGTGCCCCTGCAAATCGGCGAGTGTGACCAATACAGGAATTGACAGGTTAGTAAATGGGAGCAGACCTTGTGAGATACACTTACTTTCTCCCTAATCCAGAATATGCTGCTGAAACGGAGGGGAAACTTTGAGTCAGGATGGTTTTCCATCAAATGAGAAGACCAGCTTCCTGTGTGGCAATATTTGGGTTGAAAGTTGATGAGTGTGCGGATGACTCTAGTTGTAGAAGCGAAGGCAAAAACTTAAACGCGAGGGTGGCGAAATGAGCGAAGGGTCAGTTCTCATACACCGTTTAACCAAAACATCCAGCGGCGTCAGGCTTGCCAAGCAACAACAGCGTTTCGAACACACTTAGCTCTGCGATCAGAACCTAGCTGGGCTGGTTACATCTTGCTGCTGGGCAGAGCTCCCAGACAGAGTCATGCTTCTCATTTCGTGGCCGAGATTGACCAGATTTATTGCTCAGCCAGTATGTATCAGGATCTATTCGAGGAACCAGCTTGCTAACTGCGACATTTTGCATTAAGTGGCATAGTAACTACTTGCCGTGTGCGTGTCTTTCACCACGCTAGCCAGACCTACAATGATATTTGTTGCTACCTAGGCAGAGTGTAGACATGTTGACGCGTACACAAACACGTCAACGTGACAAAGGGAAGTCTTGCGACAACATGAATTGGCATCATAGCAGACTGAAGGTCGAGAACAGCCAATCGCACGTGTTCTTGAAATCGTTACAAATGATGGTTTGGAACTACCGTTACGTCATTGACCTCAAAACAATTCAATGTTAATTAAGGCTTAACGTCAAATAAATCGAAACTTACATGTATCGCCCACATGTTTCCTGTTTCTGAGAATTCTAAAAGGGTCCCTTCTAAGTCAACCATTACTCCGGCAAGAAGGTCTACTGCCTTAGGTATGACCACATCTCCTACATCAACATAAATGGCTGTGTAATCTCTCCATGCGCGCCACTATGAGCGTTTGTCAGTAAAAGCGCTCTTCCAATCAAAACAGGAGATGCTTACGGCGGTGATCCACACTGTATGCTGTACGACTAAGGAACTCCAATTACCTTTGGAGATCCTAGGCTCAGTGATGATACCTCGACTGGTAACATTAAGCACATCTACTTGAAAGTTGGATAATTCGACTGCAATTGTACTCAATTGTCTTAAGGCGCCGTACACGTGAACCACTGCCTCTTCACCATTATTCAGGGCCGTGACATAACCCGAGAGCTCCACAACTGCTCCATCTTCCAGGGGCAAGGTATCATCGACGGTAACGGTGAAGTGCGACCGATCAATCCCCGCGTTTGGGTTCTTGCTTTCAGCTGCGAAACAACGATGCTCGTCGTTATGAGCTCCCTGGACGTAATTCTAAGATTGAAGTCAGCATCGTACTTTGAAAATTGGCAAAATGCTTACCTCATTGTGGAGTGTGACAATCCCACTCCATCTCATTGAAAGCGCTGTTCGTTCCAGGACTGGAGGTGAGTACTCAATTGTCGACATTGTCAATGCTCAACGTGACTTGAAGGATTGTTGATGGCCGAACTGGACACGATATGCACTCTCTTTAACTGAACTTTATTAGCATCGAATCTCGCAATTTCCATCAATCATGTTCAATCGCGGGTTGCCTTTTTCACATGAGCATGACGCGACAAGTCTAGACTGGTTGGAGTTACTAGGATCTACAGGTCCATTAGTTGGGAGATGTTACGGCTTGAACGATGACACTGCCACGTACGCTGACGCAGGCACCACACAGAAGCTTATTGCAACCAAATACGTTACGCTATCCAGATGACAATGACGAATAGCATAGAAGGATGATTCTGGACTATCTGCTGCACTTGAGTCCAAAGATATAATTCACACCAGTTCTAGTTACGCCGCCTGAATTGCAATCTGAAGACGCCTCGGACAACGTCGTATCCGGACTCATTGTCACACCTGCGCGTGTAGCCAATGGCCGCTGCTAATAGTCAGCGCGTCGTCCACTTGGAAGGTATCTTCCGAACAGGGAACATGGTTAGTTATTACCTCAAATGAAGTGCGCCTGAACTGACCTTCTTACCCAGGTTGAGATAGATGAGCAACATCCCAGATACTCCGCTTGGCGTTTTTGGGGCAAGATAGTCATATCGTCACGTGGATTGCCCACAGTACTCAAGGCTATACAATTCCAAATTGTTGAGCGGTTCGGCGAAAGTGTCCTGCTTGCGGACCACACGTACTCTTTGAGGGGTTCACTTTTATTCACAGATCATATGTCGGGAGGTTCCTTCTACATATCACCCGCCGACTGTATGGAGGTCAACCCAGCGCACCATAGTGCCCGAAGTCTCGCCAACTCCACCGCTGTTCACAGTATTGGGTGAGTTGTCTCTATTTTTCATCAAGGGCCCGCAGACGGATGGGAGCTTATTGTCAGCCATGGTGGGTACGACCGCGCAGTAAGCCTTCATAGTTTGCAAAAAAACTTATTCTGACACCATTCCAGAATCGTAATCATGTAGAGTTTTGAATGGAGTACCATATAAGTGACCCAATCATGGTCGAGCTTGGGCTTACCACACTAGACAATCACAACATTATCGAGCTTTATGGTCGGGTCACCGGTTACTGTTTTGACCGAAGTCGTTGGATGATTACAGTACGTCCTCATACACTTTGACCTCTTCGTAGCTGACGTGCCTTCAGGTGGTAGATGGTTTTGTCAGCGAGCAACAATAGGTACGCGCCGAACGCACTGATGCGAGTAGGCTTTGAAGCGATTTCGCATTGTCAATCGAGGCCAAGCAAACTTCGCGGGAGGGAATGTCATTTGCTCACTATGAAGCGACTACACCATGTTGTAGTGCGTGTAGACAGGATGCCCCGTGGTTCAACCGATGAAATTAAATGCATTGCTAGTCTGCGCCTATCTTGACCACAATTGTAATTGATAAAGAGCAGAATTGGATATACAGTGGAGCGAATTGGTGATGTGTCGACGCTAAATAGGTATTAGCACCATCAACTACCTACCTCTCAAGTATAGTTCTACACACCTTTTAACTAAATTGCAATGACTCAGGATAGAGCCGTTCACTCGGGTTAGAACATGCTGCCAATCAATGATAAGTATCTGCATGACGAAGGGCGTCGGAACAAACGATGTAGAATGGTCATTATAAGGGAATAAACAAAGTATGATATACATATCTGAAACAGAGGAATTCAAGCCACCGACACTAAGGGAATGTCTCAGGAGTAAAGGGGAAGCGAATTACAGCGGAAGGTACCAAAGGTGCGGAGAGACTTCGATTCCTGAAAGCAGTCAGGAAACGATTTGGTATAAAAGGGACAAAGCGCCTCATACTACCTGCTGTGTCAGTACTGCATTGTGCTTTCGGGGGAAATGAACGGAGTCTTGAGATGCCGAGAGTTGTTCAATTCTGTCTTGTTGGAGGGACACTGAGCTGCAGAGTATGATCCCTGTAAGGAAGTATGGAAATGATTAAGTTTATAGACCACCACAAAAATAGTTATGATTGTGACTGACAGATTCTTGGCGATTCATGACTGATCCTGCTGTTTACGACGTTATGACCGGCCTTTAGACTATGTTAGATGTTGCAAGAGTCATTTCCGACTCAGTAAGAACTATGGTTGTTCCCCTTGCTGAGGTACAGCGAGATAATGCAACGTAAAGTTGCCCATGAGCAAATACCGGTGTACGTAGGACTACGCACACGTCTTCCAGGGTTTGACCTTGAGCTTTGTTGATTGTCATAGCAAAGGCAAGAGAAACCGGAAATTGCAACCTGTAAAAAGAGACTGGCGCCGTTTCATTTCCAGGATGGTGAAGTCTCATCTTAGGGATTGAGACATTGTGGCCCTTCCTCGGACCCGTGACGATTAAGCACTGAAGTGCATGGTCGGCAGCCTCAGTCACGAGCAGCCTTGTACCATTTGAGAGACCCGTTGAGAGATTAAGGTTGCGAAGACACACAACGATTGAGCCGACTTTAATGTTCAAAATATGATCTGGGAAGCCATTGATTTCAAAAGTGTTTAGTATCTCGGGAGTCACATCAGCCTCGTATTCTTCGTCTACCTCGTCGATGGAAGTTGAGATGACTTGTTTGGCTTGAATCGAGTCTAAGATCACACGGTTCAAAGTGTCAACGGTACGATTGAGGGTCGTAATGATTGCCCTGCCGGCGTAGTACAGTCCCAAACGGGCCCAAGCCCTGTGCCTTATCATGCTATGAACGGCGGAATAGTAATTCCTAACCTTTGAAGTGTTCGTATCCATCCTTCCTAACCTTTGAAGTGTTCGTATCCATCCCATGCTTAACGCTTATGACCTCGACGAAGTCGAGTGGGACCTTTGCGGTAGTTTCGTCCTGGAGCATCCCGGATCCTAACCTTAGCCACCAAGAAGCGAACTCGCTCTCGTTCGAGCCCTCTGCCTGTGTCGTCGTGTCCCTCAGTAGCCTCATATTGACTGATAACTTGAATTGTTTGATGTGACGCCATAGATAAGAGTGCTTCAAGCAGGCGCGGACAGCGTCCATAACCCCACCGTGAGGAACGACCGGCAAGATCTGACGAAAGTCCCCTGAAAAGAGAATCAATAAGCCACCGAAAGGCAAACTACAATTGCAAAGATCCTGCAATGACCTGTCCACACACTCAATGGAATCGCGGTTCATCATTGAAATTTCATCCCATACAACGAATTGGGCGCGTATTGATGTGGCACCGACCGCGGTAGCTGGTGTGAAAAGGCAAGTTGAGGACTCGTCTGCGGGGATCGGTATCTTCAGTTTAGAGTGCGCTGTTCCACCGTTTAGTAACAACAGTGAAGCGATACCTGAAGAAGCTACGGAAATGAACGGTATCTCATTCGCGTTGCAGTAGTGAAGGCAAGTGTTGAGTAAGAACGTCTTGCCGCACCCACCAGGGCCGTCGACAAACATAGATTGGCCACTTCCACTTTCAATCGCCCTTTGAACGGCATTATAGACACTGAGTTGTTCTGACGTGAGAAGCGGTACGGAATTGGCAATCTCGGTAGCACTCATGGCCGGCGTGGTTTGAGCTAGGTCAAGATCAAACTCAGCACCTCCCATCTCTTCCAAAAGATGCGTGTCGGTGTTCCTGAGCCCTACCCCACTCAAGGTTTGGCCCATTTGAAGGAGTTCCTGCTCCAGAAGTGAAAGTCCATAACAGTCGAGGTGCTTGTTGGTGGGAGTAAACGTGGGATAGCTGAGTGCTAAGCGATACTGACAGTCGTCAACCAAGTCGTCGACATGTTCGTCCCAAAGTCGCTGTGGGTTCGCGGGCGGACTGTGCCCAGAATTAAAGCAAACATGCCTCTTAACTGGCTGCCAGTTTTTCAAATTGCGGCTTCAGTCAGGCATGAGTCGTAGTGTGAGTCGCTCATGAGTAGTCCTCTTGCCTCGGCAGCAGCGCGGTAATTGTCGTACAATATGCCTTCGAACTGCCGTAGGCTCTGGAATGAGGTGACGCCAGGGGTCTGGGTCAGAAGAAGGCGTAGGAAGTAACGGTCACCGTGACCGGGCCGTGCGAAATAAAGTTGGGAAACAGCGCCCGTGTCTTTTTGCCTGCGTATCCACTCCTTATCTGACTTTTGCCAGCGAAAGAAGCGCGTCATCTCAGTGTAAAGGAGGCTTCAAATGGGTACGGGAGTTCTTTCGATAGGCTTATTTTCGAAGCAGAGTTTCATATATTCCGTAAGCGTCGTCCTCTTGGCTTTACCTGTCCGGAGTTGCGCTCGCAAGCCATTGGCATCTTTAAAGTAAACCATGTTGTTGTCCTCGTCATGGAGAGTCAACCGTTCAATGGTAGGGTGGCGACCTGAGAGCGGGTATTTAAGAAGCCTCCACGCAGCTGGAAGGGGAGTTAGTAATCAGACGAAAAATGCTCAAGTTGAATGACGAACCTTCAGAAGCGCCTAAGAAGCGCCCGTTGACGTAGTCATTAGGCTCGCTGTCAGTTTCCAGGCTTAAATCCTGCTGGTCATGGCCTTTTGCTATATATTTGTACAAATACTTTACCGCTTTCATACTTACAGCGACCTCGATGTTCATGTGGCATTGGAATTTGAGGAGTAGGAATGGGTTATACGCAACGATGTCTTGGTTGGTGTAGCGATGTCCATTTTTGACAAAGAAGGAGCCGTCATTGGGTCGTCTATACTGGGGGTAGGACCCGTCTGACATGATTGTTTCCTGCTGGAATGGCTTGGGAAAGTTGTATTTGCAAGATTTTCCGTTCCCGCATGATTTGCCTCTGCCACACGGGCCGTGGACCATCAGCTGTGTCACAAGCTCGTAGAGGAGGGGTTCTTTGGTCTGGTCAGGTATTGTCGCTCGCACTACTAAATCGACTTCTTCAGGCGTTTGTGGCGTGGAGGCTTTGTCCAGGATGAGGATGGTGTGGGTGTGAGGGGCACCTCGTTTTTGAAATCCGACGGTGTGAACATCGGAGACACATACACCAAGTCTTCCTTGGTTGATGACGTCTTTGTGCATTTCCTTGAACTTCATGTGATAAACCCGAGCAAGTAAGTCGGGCCGATCTTCTGATGACTGTCCTGGTAGAAGTGCGCGTTTCAAGTCTGGCCAATGTGTATTGGAAGTCATAGTGATAAATAGACTCGGTGGTCCATAAGCCTTGACCAATCCCATTGCGTCTTGGTATAGCTGTTGCATTGCACGTGGTCCGCCAATGAATGAGGCCGGTAATACAACGTTTCTACCAATTGTAAGATCATTTAAGTTAAGAGCCTCTGTCACACCATTATACAGTTCTGCTCTGAGTTTCTTCTGATTGTTGCGAATGAACTTTAGCCTTGCATTCTCGACGCATACATACATGTTGACCAAATACTCTTGAAACAGTCTGCCACCCCTGAGAATGGGAGAGAACCTATCTTTCTGGTCAAACAATGTGTATGCAAACCATTCCAGAGCAGTAACTTTCCCGTTCTTGCCTAGAATGGAAAGATTCAGTATTGATGTATTCAGTGAAGATATCGAACGGAGACCTACGGCGTTCGGTGAAGTGGCGATAGTGCTCGTCCCAACCATGGGAGCCATGTGAGAAGAATAAAGGGTATCGAAGGGAAAAGTAGCATGTGTTGAGTTCTGAAATGCGGCGAAGTTCTCCACTCTTGAGATGGACAATCACGTCTCGGTCTTTTGATCCTACCCTCCCGTCACCTTCAATCACAGCGGCTACTTGACTGCATGTAGGAAAGTTGTATTGATTTTTGTCGCGACCGGCCACCTGAAGAGATTTGATTTTAATGGTTCTGACCGGACCGTTACTTAGAATCTGTTCGGCCGCCTTGTAAGTTTTGGCATGCGCGTTCGTGGAATACATGAAATCTTGAATCTGACGGAGTACGCTTGGCTCCATTTTTGAATTGGATGGAATTCGGTATGCAACTTCTTCATCCGCTTGATCACCGTAGATAAACATTTGTGAAAATTTCTTCGGCGCATCGTCGACAGGCAGAAGGGAGCCAATAAGATGAGTCAGTTGGCCTCGGATACGATAACTCCAGGTGCCGCCTTCACCGGCTACGGTTTTGTCCTGCTTTGCCGCGGTGGAAGTGAAAGACATCGCGTTGTTGTAACTGCAGATGTGTTGTCTGAGATTTTTGGAAGCTGATGCGAAGTAAGTCAGCGATGGTGGTCTCAGAAACGGAGAGAGTAAAAGCGTACTTTTGTCCTGGTTTGTGAAAAGACGCTGGAGGAAGGGAGGCGTGAGGTCATTTTCCAAGTGGTCACTAGGCAAAGCGACTGCGCCTTGTTGGCAGCAAGTCAAGTAAGTTGCCTTCGCAGATGTCATCATCTGTTGGGTCCGTTCGAGTTTCCAGTGGAGGGCGCTGCAGACTTTACAGGGATCGTTACACTCCCCGATGTCGTAGGGAAGTTGGCCTGGGAATCTAGCAAGGAGGCTGGACTCCGACATCTCTTGAAGGGTGCTAGAAGCACGGCCGATCTCGCATTGATTGACTTCTTCAGGTTCAGATTCGACTGTGGACTCGGAGTCACTCATAATAGTACCAAATGGATGGGATGTGGGAAAGGGTAAAGGCTGACAGGTAGCAAAGGTTTTCTGGGAAGTATTGGGTCTGTTAAAGGAGTGTAAGATAACGAACACAGGTAGAGTATATATATTTCATGGGCTAAAGTAGACAACAAACAATGAGTATGCGACATATGTACATTTAGGATAAGTATGAATGAAATTAGCTGGGCAGGTTCAGAGAACTGGAACAAAGGGACTGGAATGGTGAATGACGGCATTCGTGCAATTGGAGTCCCGAGAGAGTATCAAGCTGGAAAAAAGTGGCATCAGGCGGTCTTGGTCTTCTTGGCTGGGCGGGTAGTGGCCACGCTGTGGTACGCAGATCATGGTATCAATCAAAAAAAAAATCAAAATTTAAATTATTGATAATCATTATTGAGCAGGAGTTATTATTACATATTAATTACATCATAACTTCACACTCTAACATATATTCAATCAATTTTATTATTCATTTGATTTTATTGTTATCAATTTTTATTTTTATTTTTATTTCCTTTTAAAAGTCAAGAACCAATTTTTTTTATTATAGTACACATAGTTTTAGATTTGACATTCAGGTTTCATGGTTTAATTCAAACAACTCAAAACAAATCTATACAAACAAACAAATCTCAAGACAGAAGCTCTTTTTATATATTAAAAACCATATTTTATTTTTGAAACACTTATTTAAATTTTAGTTTTAGTTTTATTTATATTCATCTAAACAAACAAAAGAAAAAAACTAAGAAAAAGAATAGAAACATTTGTTAGAAGAAAGTTTTAGATAAAGTACAAATTAATATTGATGTGATGTGAATGAAAAGAAAGGAGAAACAAGTGAAAATGAAAACTTGAATACATATGATTGATTGTGTTTGATGATCATGTTGGTTAGTTTGGTAGTTTTGAAGATAATATTGTAAATGAAAGGTGGATGAGATGACTTACAGATTGATGAAGTGAAGAGTGTTGGAAGGAAAGATCGAGATCAAGATCGATTGATTGAAAACGAGACAGCGAGGTAAAGAGGAAGTGAAGATGTATTATGGGATATGTAGTGGCCGTATCAGTGTGAATTATGGGTTGTTACGGGTCGAAATTTTCGATTTTTGATTTTTGGATTAAGGAAGATGGTTATGAGCTCAAACAACCATGATTGATAATCAAGCTGATGGAATCAAATGAAAAGGGTAGATGGATTAGTCATTGAAGATCAGAAACACCTTCTTTCATCAATTATACACAGCATCATCACCTTAGAATTGATTGGTAATCATAAAAATACTCTTTTAATATTAGAAATGAAGGTGGATAAGGCATTTATATATGAAGATTGACTATAAGAAGATGAATTATCATTATTAAAGTGTTTATAAAGGCTTGGAGACGAAAATACATATGAGTTGAAGAAGTTCTAATAGCTGTTTACCATTCAACAAATCACAAATTGATCATAAAAAGACTTGGCAGAGGAATATTACATAAGAAAGCTGGGTAAATGATTGAAGAATCACTTGTAGAAGACCTATTGATCACATTACATCATACTACATATTTGTACTAGCTAAAATGGCTCAAAATGGCGAGTTTGGGAAGTGTAGAAGATCCTTGAATCATTGCATCATAGCTGTTTACCAACTTTTTAGTCATCTTTTTGGTTTTTAAAAGCTGTTTACCATTATAATTTGTAAAATCAGATATATAAGGCTTGGACTTTGTCCCACTTTTGTATTTTTCCTTTTCTTCTTCATCTATGATAAAGTGTAGTAGTTTTTTATCATTATAAGAATCACTACACAGTCCTAGTTCACTTAAACTGCCCTTATTAAATAATAAGAGAATTTATTTTGTTGGTCTTATAAGCTAAAAAGCTTCATTTGGAATAACACTTTTGTGTTGAGTTAATTTCACTGGTGCCTTATCAACAGATACTTTTCTCTTTGATCATAGTCCTGGTTATTTTTCCCTGTTATCAGGAGACTTTAACAACAAAGTCCAGTTTGTTAAAGATTCTCAGAAAGAGCAGTCACAGACACCTTCTGTAAAGATACCATATTTGCAGATTATCCTCTTTCAAAGCACTGTATAGCCCTTGTTGTGCTATTAGTACCACAATGCGTGGAGTGGTGGAGCCGGATGCTGGGTAGAGTTCCTCTATCAAGGCGTCCGAGTTGGACTCAATTTTGTTGCCACTGTCAAGTCGTGGCGATGATCGAGCGCTGCCTTTCTCAGAAGAGACGTTGGTTACGGAGCTACCAGTGGGCCGAGTTGGAGTGGTGTTGGGGACGTGCCTGCAGACCGATTATTAGGTACGTATCATTGGCCAGGCATGAAGAGTACTCACTTAGCGGGTCGGACTCGACCAGTCGGATGACCTTAGTTCCAGCAGTTTGGCGTTTTTTAGATACCGCTTCAGGCCCGGTGCAAACGTTCAAAGCGGTGACCTAAGGTAGTAATGGTCAGCTTGGTAGTGGAAGGTGATAGAATTCGGCTTACTTCAACGATCCAACGATTGGAAGTACTATCCCAATCAACGATGAAACCGTGGACCAGGGTTTCCTTGCCGCATTGAACAATGCCCTGCGATTTCTTGAGCTTTTGAGTCGCCCTGATCCTGTATTCGACCTTGAAGCTGACCGACTCACGGAGCTTTCGTGGATAGGTCAGCGAATTGATGTAGTACGTTTAAGATGGAAATGACCGTACCTCGGGGCTATAGTCCATGTGATTCATGACAAAGGAGAGCGTTGTGTCTTCGGAATTGGGCTCAGGTATGTCGTGTTTAGAGGTAACAATCCCAAGGCCTGAAGCACCCGTGTTGTTGTTGAGTTCGCCGGCGAACGTGTCTGTGGTACCGACCATAATTTTATGTTCTGCTTCGTAGTACAATTTGAAGTCGGCTGAGTCGACCTGTGGGATCATTTTTGCTCTAAGAGCGTAACAGTGATCTTCTTGAGGAACTTCCATTGGTCCGCAGTAAGCAACCAGTGTGCCGTCGTACTCTCGGGAATTATCGCCCTCCCAACCGTCGCAGGTGATGGCAATGGTTGTGCCACGAAAGGTGTAGTTTCTGTTATCTGCTGGAGCGAGCTGATAGATGCAGGATGAGGAACGACTGAGGAGAATGGTTATGTGAAGTGCTTACAGTTTTGGTGACTTCAAAGACTGAGGACACGTTGAATAGATGGGAAGGCTTAGATGGAGGATTCAACATGGTTGACTCTGCCGACAACTGCTAATTCTAGAAGGGAGCCAAATTAATAGGAATGCTTCTACTGTAGAGATATAGAATTGGAACGGACCTGTTTGGAAAGGGCTGACTGGAACAGAGGCGCGGCGACAATGGATTTAAGATTGTATACGAAGGGTACGGTAATAATCTTTAACGACCGAAAGGGCTTTATTTATGAGTAGATTTGATGGGGAATAGAATCAATGTCAAAGAAGTGTGGAAAGAGGTGGAGTGGAAGAATGGGAATGGGAAGTAGATGAGTCGTTGAAGCAGGTGGGATCGAAGCACGGTACTTATATGGAAGATTGGGATGGCGAACGACAGATTAAGATGCGTTTCAGGGCTGAGGATTGGTGGGCGAGTTTGCAGCTCGGTGGGTGGCCCAAGATAGAGGCTGGTAGTGTGTGCCGAGTAGGTCGGTAGACAGATGGTGAGCTCGGTTATGAGGGCAGAGGTAGTAGTGACGGACTGGGCGCAGTGCGACTGGAAGAGGGTGAGTGTCGAGTAAGAGGGCAAGGAAGAAGTGGCGAGTGATGAGATGGCGTGGGGTGACGTGATAGGCACCGAGGCATAAGACAGTCAACAAAGAAGGACGTGGTAGTTTGTGATGGCGCTGTATATGGTGAATGACCGGGATTGTTGACTGCCAACATGCGAGAGACAGGCAACTGGATCAAGAGTGAAGCCAAATGATGTGCTCGGGTTGGTAGTGAGAGCCTTGTGAAAGTGTGGTAGCGGTGTTGTGACGATGGAAATGAGTATACCTGGGTTGTAAGCAGGGAAATGCAGAGGGGTTGGTCATAACTGAGTATGCCTGGGTCGTAAGCAGCAAGAAGTAGTGAGGTTGGTCATACGTCGAAGTAGTGTGGGTTAGGGTTGGCGTGGGAGCAGTCAACCGTTACGAAAAGTCGTAGTTTTATTAGTTAGATAGTCATAATCAATCAGATTAATAAGCAAATCTTTACACCATGATATCAAGGGGAAATAGATGAAATCAAACATCAAATGAAATAATTACTTTAGAAAAGGAGGTCAGACTTGAAAATGTCAACATTGATGTTACATAAATAATATTAGAATTGATGAATGGAGAATGAATACTCACCTGATAGATTAATCAATTCCCAAACCATTGATACATAAGAAAGAAGCTAAGAATAGAAATTGGAAGCTATGCAGCTATGAACTCACAAAGAAAGTCGAGAGAGAGTGGAGAAGTTAGTTTAAATGATGTAACAGAATAGAAGAAAAAGAAACTTACACAAATTGCTTAAGAAGGCCTAAAATCGAATTCAATATGGATCAATCTTAAACAACCCATACAAACTTCAAAATTAAATCCTAGATAAACAAAGAAACAACAAAAGCTGTCAGTAATGTGTACGAGAGTGGAGAAAGTAACAAAAGACTTACAAGGAAGATTAGAGCTCAAGATCGAGATTGATTGAAGTTCTAAAATCCTGAATTCAAAAAGGTCAACGGGATAGAAATTTATAGACCTTTGACCTTTTCAATTTAACAGTTATTTACTGTCTACTATTGGGGCTGTTGGATGGCATGATTGAGACTGATGGGTGATGAAGGCAGCGGCAAAAGGATTGAACCAGAGGTTGAATCTCCAGCAGGATCAATATGCTTGAAGAGAATCCGGACATCTTCTACCAACTGAAGAAAAAGTTGAATGCTTGATCAGGATCAATGGGATAAGGCTGTGAGGATGAATGAGTAATTGAATGGAATTGAGGGGAAATATGTAGACAAAAATGCATACCTGTTTCCAACTTTGTAGGTGGTGAAGATTTAGTTCAATGAGAGGGTGAGGAACAAATTTGGGGTGAGGGCGCGTGAAAATCAGATTAAATGTGGTGAACGTGTAAACCTGGAAATTTGTAGTAGGGATTGGGAGTTAAATCAGGTTTTGCCGGTGAACACGGTTTACCTTTAACTTGAATGATGAATACGTGGAAGGTGAAGAAAATCATCAAGACAAAGACCTCCACTTTATGGGTGAAAGAAAGGTAATTAGTGAAGAGGATGAGGGCAATGGAGAAAGTGATCAAGAAGAGAGTGATGAATCAGGAAATGAAAGAAATCAGGTTGATGATGAAACAAAATTGAAAACGATACGAATCAAATTCAATCAAAAACCGCGTAATGAGATCAACCAACAAAAATAAAACAATGAACAAGAGGACCAATCAAGTGACACAGAAAACCTGATTGACAAAGCACAACGTAAGCTTACTTTCCATCTACTCAATGATCCCAATTGGCAGAGAGTGGCACTGGGAGATTCAGTCCTAGAGACATGAATAATAGCAAGGCTATTAATGTATACCAAGGAGTCAAACATAATGTTACTCACTAGGATACAAACATTCCAAATGAAGGAATAGGCTGCCATTGGCGCCAATTGTCAGACTAGTCTAACACCAATGATGGTAGCACAGACACTGACTATGATCTTCTAAACTTGATTCCAATGTTAAGGCCCAGCTTCGGAAATTCGTAAAGAGAAACAGAATAGACATGAGATTCTGCTAGAAGAATTGGCCATGGCAGTTAAATCAGGAACGATGAAACAAGTGAAGAAAGCGACTGAAAAACTTACAAAAGAATTCGGTAACGCAAATCCAAAGCCTAGAGAACAGATGATTTTGAAAACAACGTCAAACAAAACGACAACCCTGGATAAAGGGAAGAAGAAAATGGAAGAGAAGAAGTCAGCTGGTCTAGATTACGAAAAAGGAACTTCGGATGATTTGGATGATGATAAGAAGAAAAAGAAGAAGAGAAGGAACCGAGCTCCATCAAGTTCATCATCAGACTCAAACTCATCAAAGAATTCTTTGGACTCATCCCAAGATGATAGTGATTTGTCACATAATAAATCATCTAAGAAAAGGAAGAAACTGAAATTCAAAAAGAAAAAAGCAAAATCGCATGACTTACCCTCGTTACCAAAGAAATGGAGTAAAGCTTTCAGGGACATGAAAAGTTATGTACCAATTGCAATTTTTGATAGAGGGTACTTAGACCTATATCACGCTGCAGCTGGTTCCGATTCCAAAACAAAGAAGCTAAAGTTGAAAACAACGGAAGTAGAATTAGAGGGACAGCTTACATTTGGTGATTTTATAGAGATGAGTGACTTAGAGGCTAGATATGCAAGAGAGTTATACAACCTACCGGAATATTCCAATCACATCAAAGAACATAAAGTTATTGTTGCAGAATTGAAGAGAAAGTTTAACTGTTGGATGGTAGCGTTAAGATACCATTTAGCAATTAGAGTGTTTATCTTTAGAACAAGAACAATGGAGGAAGATGTGGTTTACTTACCCAAAGGAAGAGATGATGAAGTAGTTGAGACAGCTAGATGGGAAACGGAATTGGCAGGTGATCTAATGTACACCAACAATCCGTACGCGCCAAATTACTCAAAGTACAGTTTCAATTTTAAATCAGGAAAGCCAATTGTCAACAACCAAAATTATACACCGGTCGCATCAATGTCAGCAAAAACCATAGAAATCACAACCCAAGCTGAACCAAGCAATCAAATGGTAATATGAACAACTCAAAAATTTCAACAGAACAACAAAAGACACTTTGATTCATTCAAAAGCAATAGAAACTTTACTCACCAAAATCAACAAAATATCAAGAATCAATCCCATTATGGATATAACTCTCCCCAATTTAACAACCCACAACAACAATCATTTATGTCTTACCTGGCTAACTACCAAATGATGGACCCGCAGCTAATGCAACCAACCAGTCAGTTCAATACTCCCCCAAATGCTGGAGAAAATAATCAGCAGTCTAATTACCAGAACAATAGCAACTTTAGAAGCTATGGCAAGAATACTGGGGGAGCGAACACTGCGAAAAATGGTGGTGGAAATAATAGGTAAGTTATTTGAAGTGAGGAAAGAGGAGACTAAATATAATGAGAGAGACTAACATTGATCTGCTTGCTCTCTCTTGTACCGTGATGGGAAAATGAAATGAAATAATGGTGATTTATTTGGATGATGTTGGTGATCATGTCAAATTGGATAAAAAAATTTCTTTTCTTGAATGTGTTGACTTTGTTATTATAAAAATGGTACGCTCAGAAATAAAGAATGAAACCCCAATGTGTTGTTTATTAGAGAATAGATAATAATGAGAATTCTTTTGCTTCCTTGTTCCTTTGAGTAACAGATAAGTGAACCTGAGAGAACACCAAAAATAATAACAACAAGGGTACAAAACCTTAATAACCCTCCTGTTAATGATCAAAGGGACGTTGAGGAAACGAAAGATGAGAGCTTGACGAGTGAAGATGAAGAAGAGGTAGCAGAGAGGCCAGAACCAGAACCGCTTGGGGAAAGGAAAATCATAGCTATACCGGTTAACAACAATTGGCCGGCATCAGTGAAAAGCAACATGAACCTGGAAGAGTGGAGTGTATTAATGAAGGAAGCTGGCCTAGAAAGAGAAATACCTTATATTATAGGAGGTTTTCGAGAAGGATTTTGTCTAGGGATTGAGCAACATGAAATAGAAGGACACGAATGGTATACACCACCTAATCATAAATCAGCACTCCAGCTAGATCACAAATCAAAAAGACCATAAGAAGTGATCGAGAGGCAGGACAATTAGCTGGACCATTTACACATGAAGACGAATCCAATGGGAAGTGCCGAGAATGGTGATGGATCCATTAGATTGATAAATGTCCTATCTTATCCTAAAAATGTAGAAGGAATACCATCAGTTAATTCATTTGTAGATAAAGAAAATTTTAACTCCTACTGGGACGATTTTAACACAGTAGCAAGATTCTTAGTAGATAATCCAGGCGAATGGGTCTTTGCAATCTTTGATTGGGAGAAAGCCTTTTGGCAACTACCAAATCACCCAAGTCAAAGAAAATACCTGATTATTATGGATTTGGAGGGGGAATTATGGGTGGACTTAGCAGTTGG